AAATTGACCGCACAACAGAACTTGCAAACTTGCATGCCAATGAAATACAACAGTCCACAAGAAATCAACACCAATTAGTGTTACCTATCAAGATGACGTAAATGTTAAACACAAATCAACTAGTCAGCAGGAGCAGTACCAGCCTAGAGCCAGACCAGCACCAAAACCGACACAATTCAAGGGCTGCTACCGACACATTGGTGTCACCCCAGGTAATTATTCCGAAAAGCAATGAAGACATAAGAACTTGTGTAGACAAGCAAATACAGCAGTTGAACGCGAACTGTTTTCAATGCCAAATATTGACGGAACACTAGAAGAATTTTGTGGAGCCAAATTATTCACGAAACTAGATCTAAACATGGGGTATCATCAGATAGAGCTTGACCCACAATCAAGATTTTTTTTTAATTTGTCACAGGCGACGGGATAAATCGCTATCGTCGACTTATGTTTTGAATTTCCTGTGCCTCAGAAGTCTACTTACGTTTAATGCAACATACACTGCAAGACATACCGGACTGCAAACATATTTCGGATGATATATTGGTATATGGCAAAACAAAAGAACAACATGACACCACGTTCTACAACGCCTAAGAGACAAAAACCTAACTCTGAACAAAAGTAAATGTGAAGTCTGCAAGACAACCATCACATTTATGTATCACACCCTCGCCGAAAATGGACTCATGCCACAAGATGACAAAATAAAGGCAGTGCTAAATACAACACCACCTAAAAAATGTGAAAGAAGTTAGATATTTCTTAGGTCTGCTAAATTACTGCTAAAAATTTCCTCCCAATCTCGCAAGAATTTCGGAACTTATCAGAAAACTAACAAGAAAAAATATTCCATTCAAAAAAGAACAACAATCTGCGTTTGAACAATTAAAATCACTGATAACAAGTGCAAGTGTCATGACTTTCTACAACCAAGAAGCTGAGACAAGTCTTATGGTCGATGGCTCACCAACTGGTCTTAGGGCAATTTTGCTTCAAAAACAAAATGATGGACTTTTAAGACCTGTAGCATTTGCAAGCAGAACATTAAATGATTTTGAAAGGCATTACAGTCAAATTGAAAGAGAATGCTTAGCAGTAACTTGGGGGATAGAAAAGTTTCATACTTATCTGTACGGATTAACGTTTAAAGTAATTACAGACCATAAACCGCTAGTAAACATTTTCAAGCCAACACACAAACCTCCAGCTAGACTAGAAAGAATGCTTTTTAGACTACAAAGTTACAAATTCAAAATATAAGATTTTCTACAAGTTACGCAATGACAAACGTATTGCACATAGCAAATGAAACACATCAAGGAATAGTGAACACAAAGCAATGCTAAGAGAGAAAAAGTTTATTGGCCTGGCATTTACAACGAAATTAAAATGCTGATTAAAACGTGCTATTTTTAAACCCGCTAAGACAACTTCCTATCACACCAACCGAATTGCCAGAAACACCTTGGCAAACCACTGGGATGGATTTGACAGGCCCGTTCCCGGGGGAGAATATATTCTTGTGGTAATAGATTTCTACTCTCGTTATCCAGAAGTTGAAATCATGAAATCAATCACTTCAAGATGTATCATTCAACGACTAATGAAAATATTTGCCACAGATGGACTTCCGTCAGTGATCAAAACGGACAATGCACCAAATATGGTATCTCAAGAAATCACACATTTCTTCACTGCAAACGGAATAAAACAACAACGTGTGACGCCTTATTATCCACAAGTAGAAAATTTCAACAAAACAATAGCAAAATGCGTTGAACTATTCATTTCCAAATGATCAAAATACTCATTTTCTTCTTTCTTTTTTTATCATTCTAACGTGTTTTATTTTTTTATTTTTTTTATCTTTTTTGTGTGTGTCTTATATAATTATGCTGTTATGAAAAAGCCCCATCATGAAAGGAAATCAAACTTATTTGATGTCTGTGACCAAAAGGATGTGTAATATAATACGTAATTTATGACCTGTGATGGTTATGTATTTCACACGTTCAAGTGGTGTCAACATTCTTTGACGGGGCAATTAGAACTGCCATTTATGTTGCAATCCAATCAAGTTATCATCCGAAAGATATTTTTTCCATTGGTAATTAGAAAATTAGAACTGCACTGGCAAAACCCGCCCAAATTTAATGTACAGTGACTGTCATAATTCAATGAACCTTTAGGTAATTATCCAATCGAAATCATGATATTTCAGATATATTCTTATTCCATATCAGACTAACTAGACATTAATTAATTAACTAATTGATAAATAAATAAACAAATAACTAACTAACTAAATAAATAAATAAAAATAAATAAATAGAAGAAAATAAAAGAAAATAAATAAACAAATAAATAAATATGTAAATAAGTAAATAAATAATAGATAAACAAATAAATAATAAATAAATAATCGGTCATTTCTGCCGCCATTTTAATTGATGACATGGAAATATCCCTACCTAATTTTGTTAACCTTCATGTCAGTTATACCTATGTGTATTTCTTTTCCTCGCCAATAAATCAAAATATATGTTGTTTTGTTTCATTTGGCGTATTCATTTTCAAAAAATCAACATCCTCATTTTCTTCTTTCTTTATTTTCTTATCATTCTAACCGTGTTTTTTTTCTTTTTTCTTTTTTTTATGTGTTTATGTGTGCGTGCGTGTGTATGTGTCTTATATAATTGTATAATTATGTTGTTATGAAAAAGCCCCGTCATGAAGGATAATAAAACTTAATCGATCTCTGTGAACAAAAGGATGTGTATTATAATACATAATTTATGACCTGTGATGGTTATGTAGTTCACATGTTCAATTGGTGTCGACATTCTTTGACGGGGCAATAAGAACTGACATTCATTTCTGTTGCAATTCAATCAAGTTATCATCCGAAAGATTTTTTTTTCATTGGTAATTAGAAGTTAGAACTGCACTGACCACACCCGCCCAAATTTAATGTACATTGACTGTCATACTTTCAAAACTTTCAATGAAGCTTAAGGTAATAATCCAATCGAAATCATGATATTTCAGATATATTCTAATTCTATATAAGACTAACTGAATACTAATTTATTAAGTAATTGATAAATAAATAAATAAATGAATAAATAGCTAAATAATCGGACCGGACCTTTTTCATTTTAAAAAGGTCGGAGCCGAATATTAACATGTAGAAAAACGTTTACTGTTAAACTTCCGATTCGATATGTAAAACAGAAAAAAAAGATATGGATGAATTATCCCATTATATTATGCTCCCAATAAGCTCTTATGGGGTATTTCTCCAATTACGTTGTAATGGGAGATTTTCCCATGTTATTTTTGGGAGATTTCCGCACCATTTTAATTTTGGGAGATTTCTCCCATTTACTGAATGGGTACTTTCAGCCAATATATTCCCCGAATTCTAATAAGTTTATTATAAGTATTAGATATTCAACACATGTAAAAGTATTTAGAAAGAAAATCATTTTCATCCAACGGTTTTATTCTCCCACTTTAAGAAAATGGGGTTTAAACCCCACTGCAGCCCCAGTGAGACAGGTGAAACTATATTAAAAAGGGTAGTTGACATTGCGAAAATTCCCGATTTGCAAAAACTTATTCCGGAGGCTGTAAGTACTTTCTTTACATACATAATATTGGCATCTTGTTTATGTTTGTTGTTGTTTGAAGAATACAATCACTACTATTTAAGTATCGTTCTTTCAAATAGCTGCTCTTTGCAAAAAAAAAAAAAAAAAACAACAAAAAACGGACCCACATCAAGCTCAGGTTGAAGATTATTCTTTTAAATGTAACATTTTGAGAATAAATACACCTCTTTCAGCTGATATATTTTAAACTTCGATGACGTTATTTGGAACACAACTGATTCTTGTTTGAACATATTCAAAGGAATTAGCTCTCAATGTTTAGGAACAACCAAACTGCTTCTCTATATAAAATGCAACAGAAATTGGTAGTCACTTTTTTAGATAATTTCTGATATTTAACATGTCTCATATTACATATTCTTCCGAACAGCTGAATAACCTCATCGATCAATCTTCATAATCTAAAGTGGATTCGACCCTGAATCTTCCCGAATCAACATAAAGAGTAAATTTATACTAGTCATTGCCTTTTTGTCATTAAATAATACTAGATCACGAATAGCATGTACCTTACATGCTTAACTTTATAAGACGTCTGGTGAACAAATTTGTTACCTTTACATTCGTAAAACCTAACCCGTTTTTAACTATTAAAAAACCTGAAAATAAATATCCGAAACATTTTCCCAAACAGTTTTCGTCATGTATGTGTCCTCAAATTTCTCAAAATATCTATGTTTGGGGTTGATATGTAATACTGAGGAAACATTTATTGAAGCCCATTTATATACATGTATAATGTGTATTAGCCTTAGAATTGAATATCACACAGTTGAAACTGATCGCACAAGTATATCTTTTATTGAACCAATGATTTAGTTACTTTTCATGTTTGCAAATTATTTGTATTTGCATGTATATGGATATATGTTAAGTTGTAATAATATGTGTATGTGTGTATGTTGTGTTTTCAATTAATGATATATGCATATGCTTAAGCTTAATACAAACCTTTTTTTCCGAAATACACAAATCATATGATACTGCATGTAGGCTCTTAAAGAAAATGTGTCGGTTGTTTTGATCCTGTCATTGCTTTCCCGATTCTTGATAATACTATTGTTGTAGTGTGTTTTTATTTCACTAATAATTTCAACACAACGCCTTTAAGAGCAAAATAACAAAATGCATTATATTATGTCAAAGTTCATGGATGCGTTATTATTTGTTTTTCTTCAAATAAACGTCAGTGTATTAGCACACCTGCAACTGTATGCAAACATTATTTCATAATGTACGTTAGCTTATCATATGTTTTGAGATTCAAAGTAATTGTTACGAATTTGAAGTCATAATACCAATCTTTTTTATATTTTACAGGTATTAAACACTTCCAAACGGATTGTTTCAGGAATAAAACTGTATTATTTTGGGGAGACTCTACACTTCATCAGTGGTTTAAATATTTAAAAAAACAGTTACATACTGGCAGAAAATATGTTTGCAAAAGGTCGAATGGTCCATCAGACTGGCGGACTCATACAACATGCTACTACAAAGAATACAATTTAACTTTATCGTTTTTTGGACATAATATTCCAGTCAGTCGTTTTTCAAAGCCAAATTTGCAAAGTATGTTTGAGATCATTGGATTTGAAGAATTCATTAAATCAAAATCCCCCCAAAAACATGAGTTTCTATTAGTTATCAACTTGTACAGTCATCTTCAACAATATAATTATAATCATTTTACTTCTCACATGATGGAAATTAAGAAAAGTTTGGAGCGGATCTTTGCAATGAAATACAATGTTAATGTTTTCATAAAATTACCACATACATATCGGAGAGTGAAAGATATTAAATGGAAAATTAGACAAAATGATTTTATCGGATTTATTTACACCTCAATAATGCGGAAAGTATTTAAAGGTCTGTATCATAGAGTTACTGTCCTTGATCAAAAAGACGCAACTATTGCTATAAGGAGCTTTCCCTTACATCCATCGAACGAAATAGTACGTGAAATGGTTCTCCAATTTTTAAGTTATGCATGCAAAAGTTATTAATTTAAAAAATAAAATACTATATCAAAAAAGTTTTAGTACATGAACATGTAGATTCAGTTCTCTTGTATTGACAGTAGAAGAAAATGCTACTTATTAAAATTGCATAATACTATATTTATCAATAATTGGGGTTAAAACAACTAATACAATCTACGTTTTGCCATATGAATTGTAAATTCCCTATCTGTTCAACTACAGAATCCATAATACATTAATAATCTTGTGTGGTCTTTACCTACTCACAAGGACGATATCTGATTTTTTCTGTCGTTGATGTTAAGTATTTATATAACAAATACAGCAAATAACCCATTTACAGGAAATAGTGTTTCAACACTATTTCAGTGTTAATTTATTTGCAAAACACCATCAACACATTTATTTTAGAAATGAATACATATTTTTTATGAAGTTTATGATAGTTATGCATTGAAAATTGTATGAACAAACTAAGGGACCATTTTTTTATTTTTTTATTCTAATGTGTGTTTATTCAGGTGAACATTAAATTTTAACATTTGGAACTAAAATAAGTTTAATAAATAATTAATATTCATTTAGTCGAATAGTAGCGATACATTATGATGATGATGACGACAATGATTATGATGATAATGATGTTGCTTTTGCTGCTGCTGATGATGATGATGATGACAATGAAGATATACACCATTTTATTAGTATCAAAATTATTATAGGGATGATGTGGATAATGTTTATTCGAAGATCATGTAATGATGATAGTATAAATGATGGTGATTATTGTAATTTTCAGTGCATGTTTTGGTATTTTGTCTTAATTTTCATTATCTACTTCTATATGCATATGCCGTTGGAAGTGATTGCTTTAAGTTTAGAAAATTATAAAAATATGTGATATTATGATAAAAAGTGCCACGGTCGCCAAAGCGAAATTTTCAATTGCACACTTTCTGTTCTTTAACCTAATGTGTAACAATAATAAAAGTAAAATTTTCTAATAGTTATCATTTTTAAAGCCCGTGAAAATATGGGTTGGAATTTGCCAAACAATGGCAAAACTAAACTGGCAGCTATTATAACATGTAACTTGGGGAAAATTCTCAAAATGCATAACGGAACAAAATGGCCACCAGAGCTAAAAATAGAAAAAAATCTTGCCCACCCTTCACAGGTCAAACTACTGGTGGGATTTAAACCAAATTAACAGGAGTGATTCGTACATTCATTAGTTGTGCATGTCACCCCCATGTTCCGCTTGGTTCCACAAAATGGCCGCCAGAGCTAAAAATAAAAAAAAAAATTGTCCACCCTTCACATGACAAACTACTGGTGGGATTTCAACCAAACTTTAAAGGAGTGATCAGTACCATCTCTGGTTGTGCACATCACACGCACGTTCCGATTCGCTGCACAAATTGGCCACCAGAGCTAAATATAGAAAATTTTGCCCGCCCTTCACAGGTCAAACTACTGGTCGGATTTCACCCAAACTTTACAGGAGTGATCAGTACCATCCCTTGTTTACACATCACCCGCATGTTACGCTTCGCTGCACAAATTGGCCGCCAGACCTAAAAATAAAAAAATATTATCCGTACTTTACAGGTCAAACTACTGGTGAGATTTCAACCAAATTTTACAGGAGTGATCAGTACCATTCCTAGTTGTGAACGTCACCGGCATGTTCTGCTTTTCTGCACAAAATGGCCGTCAGGGCTATAAATAGAAAAATCTTTACTGGCTTTCACAGGTCAAGCTACTGGTGGGTTTTCAATGAAACTTCACATGAGTGATCATACATAGTTTTGGGAGACATATGTTTTTGTGACAAAAACCCTTCTAGTTATGCTATTTATTTTCTTTACTTCATTGCTTTTGTTTGTTTTAGTACATTAGGAAAATGAAAGGTTATTTGTAACTGTTTCAAACATGATTTGATGATATATATTTATTACCTGTACTGTTTGTCTTTTTTTTCACCAGAGATAATTTATTTTTATGTATATGTATTTTTGCCACTAAAGTTATTCTATTAACCATCTCTTCAAGTCGTCTTCTGTCAAGAAAATTGGTGGGTTATGACTCGCATTCAGCGATATATTTATATGTATTTCACGACGCATGTACATATCGAACAAAGCAACAATCAACCAAACCAGAATCAGTAGGATTTTAAACAACAAACATAACACCTTGACTTTTAACAATTTCATTTCACTGATACACTTTAATCGCACCAGACATTAGGGGCACACATAACCAACAGACACACTTAAATCATGACATTAACCACATTGACAATATATGTTTATAGATCACGAGGAAATATGAACAACAATTCAAGAAAAACGTATTCGGAAAATCATTAATAACGTAAATAATTATTTTGTTTCTTTAAAATATACAGAATAAAACAGTATAATAGTAGATTTTTAGTAAGGAGTTATAATTACATGCAATTAATGCATTGAATTTTATAAATAATGGAACAGCTAACATAATTTAAAGACATGTTTTACAACAACAACTAAATACAAATACAAGACATTTATATAGCGCAAAAATGTATTAAATATTCGATTGCGCTGTACAGTATTAAGACTATACACATATGCTTGATCAAGGCACTCCCAAACACAGTCTCGATGGCACAGCCAATCTACAACTCTAGTTGAAAAACAGTCCAAACAAGTATGTTTTAAGTTTGGCCTTAAACTAATTTTCATTGATAATGTCCTTCAGATAGTCTGGCAATGAATTCCACCATTTAGGCCCCACAATAGCCAAAGATCTATCGGCAAGTTTTGAATTTGTTGATGGTATATTAAACCGAGTGTGGCTAGATGATGAGGATCTCAGTCTTTTCCTGTACTGACTCTGGCATTTAGTGAACAATTCACGAAGATACAATGGAGCGGTGCCATTTGCAACAAGAAACACAGTCACAATAACTTTGTACATAATTCTTGCTCGAATTGGAAGCCAGTGGAGTGATTTAAGAATTTCAGCACTGGATTGATAGTAAGTAGCTCCAGTGACAATTCTAGCAGCATAATTCTGCTAACGTTGTAATTTATCAAGTTGATAGGCTGGAATATCCGCGAATAAATCCATTGCAAAAGTCTAAATGTGAATTAATCAAACCGTGAACAAGAATTTCTGCAGATTTCTGAGTGAGATGTTTTCTGATTGCTTTCAAATTTCTTAACTGCATGTGTGCAATCTGACACTTCTTTTGAATATGGATGCCAAAACTTAAAGTGCTGGTCATCTGTACTCCAAGGTCTCTCACATTGTCAACACAGTTGACTTCGACCCCACCAACATTGACACTGGAAATGTTCAATTTCTTCAGCTGATGTCTTGTACCATAAATTATGATTTCTGTTTTGCTATTGTTAATTTTTAACTTAAATCTTAAGTCATTCATGACACAATATCATTAAGACATCAATGAGTTTTTGGCGAACGATTTCTTCGCTGTGATGGTCACCAGCTCTAATTTTAAAAGCCACTTTATGATCGTCTGCATATCCATACAATGCCGCCGGATATTTCTGGACTATTTTGTTAAGGGCAGCTATATAGAGAGTAGATATCACCGGTCCAGCACAAGAACCCTGGGGAACCCCGAACCTCAGTGGTTCAGCATCCGATGAGGACTGTTCAATGACAACTTTCATATATCTGTTGGTTAAATAAGTTTCGATCCACTTTAATGGAATACCCGGTATGGCAAAGTCTTTCTGTAGGATTTCAAGTAATATTGGTATATCAATAGTATCGAAGACGGCGCTTAAATCAATCATTACAACTATTGTCACATGGCGGCTATCAGCTGTTTCTTGCAGATCACTGTACATTTTCATCATAGCAGACTCAACACTGAGAAATTTACGTTATGCACTTTGGAAAGATGGTAACAAATTGTTGGACTCAATGTGGCTTGAAATTTGGTTCATTGCAGCTTTTTCAAGAATTTTCGACAAGAATGACAGGTTTGACACAGGCCGATAGTTTTTCAATTCTAAGGGAAGGCCGTTCTTTTTCAAAAGGGGCTTGATAACAGCGCTCTTCCACGTCTCTGGAATGACACAAGAAGACAATGACCGATTCACGATTTCTGTCACAACAGGTGCAACAAATTAAGATTTTCTTTCAGCTTTGGTGTTGGCATAACGTCCAACTCACATGTTGTTGACTTTGATTCACTCACAAGTTTGATTATGTCTTTTTCATTTAGTGAAATAAATTTCTTCATGACATTTTTACTTGATGGTACATCAGATGCCATGATACTATTAATCACCGAAGATGATGTTTCTGTGTTTATGTTATCAAGATCATCACGAAGTCTAAGGATTTTGTCACTAAAGTAACGCAAGAAATCGTTTGCAAGTGCTGTCTCACTGGTGTGAGGTGGAAGTGGGTTATCCTTCGAACGCCCAAGCAAGTCTGAAGTCACGCTATATAACTTCTTCACATTCCCTTCAGCCTCCCCAATTCTACTCTGATAGAACCCATCCTTTGCTGATGCTATTGCCGCAGTATAGGAGTTTCTTACATTATTGTACACTATTTTTGTGAGATCTGACCTGTCCTTTAAGTATATTTTCTCTATTGATCTTTTGTACTGTTTTAATTGCTTAAGATATCCAGAGTACCATGGAAGTTTGGGTCTAACAGTAATTGATCTTTCTTACAATGGAACATGTTTAAAAATTATATCAGATGCAGTCTTTGTGAAATCAGACACAAGTTCATTCAAGGTAGATGATTTCTCTGCCAAACTGTTTAACTCTTCTCCGACACACATTTCCAGTTACGTGATATGATGTTTTTGTAACCAAAGGGGGGCAGAATTGTTGAATATTACAACTGACAAAACAGTGATCAGAGATGTAATAGTCAGACTGAAGATTGGTTACACTAGCAAGTGTGTCTTCCTTTTTTGTGATGATCAGGTCAATAATATGCCCACTAGAATGAGTTGGAGTATTCACTTGCTGAACAAGTCCATATGATTTCAAACATTGTTGGAATTGCTTGGTGTAGCAGTCTGATTGCATGTCCATATGAATATTGAAGTCCCCAAAAATTACCATGGACCTAGATTGAGATGAAACTTGTTCTAAATATTCAGTGAATTCAGTCATGAATGTAGTTTGAGTGACCGGGTGTTTTGCAGAATATGGCGGTCTATAAATGCCAACGATTCTAAGTATGAATGTTTGGATACATATTTGCCATTCAGCACATTCAAATGATTGATACGATTTGCTGGGTAGGCTTGACACTTTCAGGTTATCTCTGTATAGAAGGCCTATTCCTCCACCACTACGATCAGACCTGTGTACATCATCAAAGCAGAACTCTTCCTGAGCCAGTTCACCCCTAACAACATCATCACCATCGGTCTGTAGCCAAGTTTCCGTTATTAAACAAAAGTCAATTTTCTCTTCAAGGATATGCTGGAGAAGATCTGCTGATTTATTCCGTATAGATCTTTTATTAACTGTGGCAAGTTTCATTTTTCTCTGTCTATGGACATTTTGTATGTATGTGTGATCAAGTTTAATTTGAACTAAGTTTACCAAATGAACACCACCATTATGTTTAATCCTTGGCTGGCCAGCTCGTTTACCTCTATTTTTCAAAATACCATAATTTTTCAACAAAGATAACGTTTCTTCATTCGGTAAAACATAGCTTCTAGGCACAGATCTACAATCCAATAATTGCTCTCTATTGTACTGTCTCACTGTCATTGTATATGGATTAGCCATGACTTCAGGTGATTTGGTGTTCACCAACACAATTGATATAATTACACAGTATATCCAATATTTCCAATATTTGTTATTTTCAAACTTTTTCAATTCAAAATAACTCATAAATCCAAATATAAATCACAAAATCAATTTCTGTAACATGTTGGTTACAAGTTTATAGATGTCCCTGCCAAAAAATCTAGACCCAAAAGCAGCTTGTTCA